CAAATACAATCACGATTCCCCACCACCTGTTAAGCAATTTTAACTCAAATAATCTAACAAACCTCTATTCGAAAATTTATTCATATTCTATTTGTTTCACCTGTTCTAGGACTATTTTCCCGAAGATCATATAATAGCATTTGAAAGTAATTTCCAAGTAGTTCTATTTTAGTTAGTATAGTATATGATACAAAGTACTAGAATTTTTAATGTAATATTGTAAATGAGTTAAGCAAGAGAAATTGTATTTACATTAATATTATATTTTACGCAGCTAAATGCTGTAGTCATCATAAAATATTCCAAAACAACATAACACAAGTCCAAGGCTCGAGAATTTATAATTCAGGATTTTGCAACCCCCAATGATGTCTGATTAAACTCTATGCTCTCTAGCAGCAATACTGATTCTCAGCAATGGAGTATATTGAATGAGGCATTATCTGCGCTCATTTCCCTCGCCCTAATCATGCCACAGATAGCGTTCCTCCTATTTGAGTATGATAGCTTCAGCTCACCGACATTTGATCCTTTTGACACCGAAGTCAATTGACGCAGTGGGTCCAAAGGAGCACATCGTCAAACAGGATACAGAATAAGAGGAACTGAGCCATCGGGGGCCAGAACGGAATTCAAGAGGTTAAAATGAAATCCACTCTTGCGTGGTGGGCTTTCGACCATAGAGGGAAAAAGGCTTGGCATCGGTGATGCGCTCTATCCTCCCCGCAGGTTTACCGCACTGTAGATCCCGCGTGGGGTTTCACCGGCCCCGAGAGGGCCCCCGGGTTTGGGCGTGGGGAGGCCCAAGCGGATGGGAATAAACACCACACGGCTCGGCTATGGGCCCTGGCAGCAATGCCACCCGCCCGCCCTGCGGCTTCCACTTCAACAAGCTGTATTCGGAGAATGCGGTCAACCATAGGGAAGTTGTTCTACCCGGTTGGTCACGGTTGAGGTGTGATCAAGAAGGGAACCGCAAAGGGAATTTAAAAAAAAAAAATTTCGCCAAACCTTCACTAAGATTCCCTAACCCATCGCTCTTTCCCGGACTTGGCTTGCCATATAAAGTGGCCCATCGTGGCGTAACGATATCGTCATAAAAGATCTCTTACAGCTAAGGTTAAATTAATATAGTGCTATCCAGTGGAGTACCGTAATCTTTTGTTTATTGCGATATATATATGGGTATGGAAAAACATCAACAGAGAAGCACACGAGTATCACACCTACAGTTCTTCAAGCACTTGGAGCTAGAACCATGTCCAGACTCTTGGCCAGGTCGGTAATTAATTCGGACTAATGGGGCGATAAAGGCAAGTTCTAATTCCGACTATGAAAGGGGGACTCCAAAATTATCACAGTAAATTTCCTGGATATGCATCGTTATGTTCCAATAATACGATATGTATCTCTGTAAAGGGATTGCAAAAACCGGATACTGTGCTTATAGTCCTATACTCGAGTAAGCGAGTGCAGTGAGGGTAAGCGGCATTTTCCACCCAAACATTCCGCGTCAGTTAACTTTTAGTTTTGAACGGAGATCCAAGGCCGATATTCAAAGGGTAACCCGTTGGTGAACTAGCGTCCGTCGAGGACTTGGCGCTTCCAATAATGATTGGACGAGCAAATACTTGCGCAACACGACTGTTACACAAGAACCTTGTATGGTGCAGCGCTGTAAGTTGCAGCCCCTTTTTCATCCGGCGGTGGAGATTCCCTCAAACTTTGCGAGTCCGACTACCATCGCACACGATCCCCATATCCCTCACAATAAAGGAAATTCAGATTACAGGTTATAGCGCAGATGGCGTCAGGGTACCAGCAGGCCACCGGGAATATCAACTCGTTCAACGTGTTGACGAACAACACATGCAACAGCGTTGTCAACTTTATTACAGAAGCAGGTGGCGAAAGGCACCAAATTCTGCAGTGGCTGTCACCACTTGAACCACAGCAACGGCACCAAGGTGTGAGAACCGAGAGGCTCAAGGGTATAGGAAGCTGGGTACTAGAGACCAACGAGTTCAGAAAATGGAGCGATAGGGAGGGTAATTGCGCTGAGCAAGCGTTGTTCTGTTCTGGGAAACCGGGGGTTGGGAAAACATATCTTACGTGAGAAGCTCGCTGGTTCCGAGAAAGTTAATTCAGATTCCACTGACTATCAGCAAATAACAGCTCCCTCGCGATCGACAGTCTGTGCGATCAGGCTGGAGGAGAAGAGGTTGCTGTTGTAGGGCTCTACTGCGATTTCCTTTCCCAGCAGGAACAATCCAGCGCAAGTATGTTGGGTGCCATCCTCAAGCAACTTGTCAGTAGAGGGGAAATCCCGGAGCATATACGAGAGGCTTTTGGGAGGGCTAAAAAGGAGTTTGGTGGCCGAGGTCTCCTGCCTCCCGATCTGGTACAGATTGTCAAGAAGAC